GCCGCGGGGGCGGTTGCCTTGAGGAGAGGAACCCGCAGGCACTTTCACACCCGGAATCCTCTCCTAGGCGTCAGGGACTCTAGAATCCCAATCCCATCCACCAACCCTCTTTCCTCGTGCTGTGCACTTTCCGACTTTTCCCTCTTATCATTTCTCACATTTTTCTACTTTTCTGCCAACCCCCCTTTCTGTGCCTTTTCTCACTTCATCTACTTTTAAATAACCGTCGGGTTTTCACTTTTGATGGGCTGACCATCCATCCCAACTTGGAGAAATGTAAATATAGCCCTGTTCTTTGGGGGACCTGGGAGGGAGGTTGATGGCCCCCATTCCTGAGCCTGAACTCCGTCCCCTTCCCCCACCCTGCTTGAGCGCCCCTGCACCCAGGTGGCGGGGCTCGAACCCTCGAGGCTTTCCAGCTTTGAGCCGGCCGCAGTATCACCTGGCTGGCCGGCATCTGCCAGGTGAGCTTGAGAGAATGTGTGCTTAGCGTTGCAGGTTCCTGCAGAAATGCGCCTATAAACACCCAACACCCGGCTGCACCCTACACCTACAGGGTTTTGTACACTCTCCAACCGAAACTGCAAAACCCAAGGAGTGGTGGCGGGCGGGGGGGGGGGGGAGCCGGCCCGGGAGGGAATAAAAGTCCAATAAAACTTGCGTTCCTGAAGTTTATCACCGATCCTACAAAGGACAGGATTTTCCCCCCCATGAGAGTGAAAAGGTGATAGATAAGGAAGAACCTTTTTACAAAATGACCAGAGCACACTTGCGCTTTTTCTGATCACCTAAGTCTACATGAAAAGAAAATGCGCACATTTCCCCGGGGGCAATGTGCTTTTCCCCCGTGCTAGGTGGAGGGATTTTAAAAAGAAATTAAGGTTTTAACACATGGTCGGAGTGGCGACCAAAAGGGAGAACTCAGTTTCCAGTCCTAGCCTCCTGGAGACGTCCTGCCAACCTCCGCACCCTCTCACGCCCCACCCCACGTGTTGGAGACTGAAAAACGACCAGGGGACTGATTCGATGCGAGCGAGGTTCACGTTCGGGAACAGTCTGTAATAGGAAGGGGAAGTGGATGGGGGAACTTAAGAGAGCCTGCCACGAGGGAAGCACCCGAACTTGCAGGTCTCCATGAATGAAGAGGGCCACAGGGAAGCTGGGGCATCCGCCCGCGACCCTCTCAGCCCCTCCCCTACGCCGGCCACCTCTACCCCACCCCCACCATCCCCCTCCCCGCTGGAATTTCTCTGTAAAGCAAGGAGAGGGTGGGGGGGAGGGGGAGAGGGAAGGGGCGAGGGGGCCCTTGGCTCACTCTAGAGACGGGCTGACGCGCCACCCAGGCTTTCTCCTCCGGGTGGGCGAGCCCCCGGGTCGACCACCCGCCTTTTGCCCGCCCCGCCCCCCCCCCCCCGACTTCGGGAGACCCAGAGCTGGGGATGCTGTCTCCCTAGTGGTGAAGAGACCTTGCTCGGTTAGTTATCAAGTGATGTGCAGAGACTGAAGTCCTCGCCGGCTTCTGTCCTTGCCTGTCGGGTTAGATTTATACTTTTAAAACACCTCTTTCCGCCCCCTACTCTTCTCCCTACTCCCTTCTCCCCCAGCAGCTGTCTTGGATCCGCTCTAAGGTGGCCGAGGAGAAGTTTGAGTGTAATTTAATGTGAAGTCGGGAAGTCCAACTTGACTAAAATCAATACGTGATGAACACTGACTGTACTCGGCCAGAGTGTCATCCGCTTGCAGAGCTGTTTCCTTTTGAGTTTGCAACTAAGGTTTTTCAATGAGTTGTTTTTTTTTTTTCTTCCGAAAGCTAATGGCTTCCACAGCAATTAGACATTTTCCTCGCCCGCCCCCTCCCCTCCCCTTTCTTTACGTATAGTAGATTGGATACTAATTCCCGCTGCCATTGATAAGGTCGCTGGCGCCCCAGCCTCTCCCCGGCCCCCGCCCGCCCCAGTCCCCGCTCTCCCTCCGCCCTCCCTTGGCTTCCTTTTGATGTAGCGGGGAACGCGTCCTACTAAAAAAAAAAAAAAAAAAAAAGTAATCTGCCCGGTAACAATCAGCGCGCAGTAGCAGGAGCCCCAGAGCTATTGGCTATGCAAATAGAGGGAGGGGAGACGGCGCCCCAAACTCTTACTCACCCTTTTAAAGCGATATCCCCCCCCTTCCACCCACCCCTTCCGCCCCACCCTCGTTTAAAGGGGCTGGCTCCCGGGCCAGAGTTAATCGCCTGCACCTCTGGTTTATTCACTCCCCGCCTACCCCCTTCCAATCCCGCTCCGCCTTTCAGGGAACCTAGTGAAACGGCTCACCCGGCCCAGCGCCCCCACCCCTCCGCTCGCCTTGTCCCTGCTTGGGCCCCCTTTCTCGGCGAAGGAGGTACTCGGTCAACTTCGGTATGCCCGGAGAGCCCAGTCCCACGCTATGCTTACTGCACGTGCCAGCTCGGCCAACACGCTGGGGGCACTGGGCTCTCGCCCCTTCCTCCCCAAAGGAATACACTGAAAGACAGTGTGAGGGGTGGCGGTAGGAAGGAGATGAGGAAATGCCACTAAGTCCCCTGTAAAAACAGCCTTGACCCCAGGATGCGTTAGAGCACATGTCAGGGCCGACTGCGCTGACAGCGTTTCCACCGCAATCCAAAGCCCTGGATGGCCAAGAGAGGCGCGAACCCGGAGGGGTCGGCGAGGATGCAGGACGAGGATCCGGAGGGGGGCTGAAGCCTCCGGGAAAAGGAAGGGGTGGCGTTGTTTGCGCAGGGGGAGCAACGGGGAGCCAAACCTAATCCCTCTCTCGCCCCTCTCCCCTGCCTTCCCCTCCCCCTCCCGGGCTATTTCCTAGAAAGCTGTATCAGTGTGGCCACGCTCTGCGCAGACACCTCGGGCGGCTTGTCAGCAGATGCAGGGGCGAGGAAGCGGGTTTTTCCTGCGTGGCCACCCGCCGCGGAAGAACCGCTGAGAGCCCTGCCCCCGTCCTGCGGCAGCCCTGGGCGCCTCGCTGCGTCTCCCAGTGGTGCCCTAGTGCCCCCAAGAACACGAAAGTTTCTGCTCAAGGATCCCATTCTATCAAGTCAGAGAAGCAGCCCCTTCCTGATACTCATTCCTTCATCCTCATCTTCTCCACACACATTCTTGGGGGTAGGGAGACGTTGTTCTGGTCCCTTTAATCGGGCTTGTGAAACAGCTTCGAAGTTACCAGGAACACAAACTTCAGGGACATAACCTTTATCTTTGGGTATGAGAGGTTGCTATTTTCTAAAATCGCCCCCCCCCGTTATGTTTCACGTATGGGATCTATTTCTAAATTGTCTGAGTTCACCCCATCTTCAAGAAAATTACCCTCCATTCCTAGATCTTGAATACGTGGGCAGGAATATTAGGATCAAATTTGAAGCCAAAATTGGAGGGTCGCGTTTGGGCATTGGTACACCTACAGAATGTGTGACATTAGAGGGAATAAATAGGAATTAGTGGGGTTTTGTGGGTTCCCCTATCCGGGGCCCCTGGCATGCGGGACTGGATAGAGGGAGAGGGCCCGGGAGAGCTAGGGAGAGGGGTGAGGGGGGAGCGGGGGACCGCGTTTGAAGTTAGGTCGGGCCAGCTGCTGTTCTCCTTAATAACAAGAGGGGAAAGGAGGGAGGGAGGGAGGAGGGGGAGGAACGGGAGGGCAGGGAAGGGGAGGAAAGGGGAGGAGGAACCCGAGAGGGGAGCGAGGCAGAGGGAGGAGACCTAACTGCCCAGCCAGCTTGCGTCACTGCCTCAGAGCAGAGAAGAGCGAGCTGGGGAGAGCAAGACGAGTTTGAAGGCGAGGACCGGTGCGAGTTAGGCAGCCCTGAGGCTCTGCTCGTCCACCGTCCATCCCTTCCTCTCTTCTCTCCCAGCTTCTCTCTCTGCCCTCATCTTTCCCCCGGAAACCCCCGATTTTGCCAAAGGAAGGAGGTAAGGGGAACCCACGCCCCTCCCCCTCCGACAAAATAAAATAAAACTTTTCCAGTCGGAGAAATCAGGAGAACGAGTCGCTCGGCTGGCCATGGAGCTGCTGTGCTGCGAGGTGGACCCTGTCCGCAGGGCCGTGCCGGACCGCAACCTGCTGGACGACCGCGTCCTGCAGAATTTGCTCACCATCGAGGAGCGCTACCTTCCTCAGTGCTCTTACTTCAAGTGCGTGCAGAAGGATATCCAGCCATACATGCGCAGGATGGTGGCTACCTGGATGCTGGAGGTAGGTGTGCAGGCGACGCTCATTAGGAGCCACAGCCCCACCTGGATTCTTGGCCCCCCACGCAGGGACCCAAACTGGGAGAGGACAACCCCCTCGCGGGCCTCCAGGCTACAGTGCGTGAGGTTACCCCGCGCCTCTGGGCGAGACGCGTGGCTGCAACTCTTTTCCTTGCTAGATTAACCCAGGGAGGGGGAGGGGGAGGAAAATCTAGGAGAAACGAGGCTGTCCTGGGGCGGGGGTGGGGGAAACATCCCGCGCGCTTGTGCCTGCATGTGGCTTCCTCGTCTTCCCACCCCCATCCCGACCGGTCTTTTGCCGATCGGCGGCTATTTTCAGTGCCATGAAGAAGGGAAAATCGCGACCCACAATAAAAGGCAGCCCCCCAAAAGGTCGGAGCAAATTCGTCCTAGCCTCGGGTCCCCGCATGTGGTCGCGACTCCGCGTTGGCACTTCTGGGGGGAGGGGGAGGGAAAAAGGAGGAGGGAGGAGGAGAGAAACGGGGAATTCAGGAGCCCCGGAAGTCGCATTAAAGAAACGCGTGTTTTAGGGGAACCCAAAAGAACCACTTCTTAACCCTCGCTCGGGATCTTTGCCGAGCAAACTGTGTGCCCACGTATGCACAGCTCTGGACCTGCCGTGGTTTCGCCATGTTGCTTTGCAAACTCCAGTTGGAAAGGCTGGAAAACGTCGCCCGCTCCCTTAAGCACCCCATTATCCCGACCACCCCACTTCTAGTCCTGCCCTCTCCCCCGAGTCCCCAACTCACAAAGATTACTTACAGTTTGGTTTTCCAGCTTCTTCAGTGCGGAGATTAGGGTGGGGTAGGATGGGGGGAGGGAGGAGGTGTGTGTAGGGGGAGTTTCGGGGCACCCCTAAATAAGAGGTCAGAGCCCCCCAGTGCCTCTTCCCGGGGCTCCCTGTTCCCGTCTTTCCTCCAACTGGGCACCACGTTCCTAGTCTCTGCCCTTGTGGGCCGCAGCCGGACACTCCCGCGCGGCTTCACTCCTTCAAGTTTCCCCTCGGGATCCAAAGCCCCAGGGGTCGAGATGCAGACCTTCCTGTCACCCAAAACCTCCGTTTCGGGAAGCCTGGATCCTCTTTGGGGTTTTCACGCCAAAAGGGCTTTTCTAGGATATTTCCTCGATTTTTAATTATTTTTTGAAATCGTCCCCCCCTCCGACTCCAGCTGCCGCGGCTGCGGCGCTCTTCCTCCTCCCCTCCCTCCCCCGCTCTTCCCCACCTCTCCCCACCCACCCCCCCAATAGCGGCCCCTGGGGCGCAGGGACCCCCTCGGGCATTTTTTTCAATTGTCGGGAATGATAGAGCAGGGTCTGGGGATCCGAATGAGACCAAGAAGGAGACCCCCGGAGCCTCCAGAATATTTTTATTGATTTTTTGAAAAGATGACGAAATCCAAAAAAGAGTGAGTGAGTTAGAGTGCGCAAAGAAGTCGGAGCCAAGGGGAGCGCGGTGGAGCCTCGCGCGGCAGCTGAGCTGTTCTTTGCCTCCGGGTCTTGGTTCTTAAATTCGCCCCCTTTTTTTGGCTCCATGAGAATATCCAAGCACGGATGACCTATCGGATTTTATCCCAGTTTTCTCTTCTTTATTCTTAGCACACTTTTTACTCCCCTCCCCCTCTTACATAAAAAAAACTAATTTTTTGTTGATTCCATACTTTTTCATTCTTTTTCTGATACTATTTTCATTCTCCCCCGACCCTTGCCCACTCCCTGTATAGGTTTGTGAGGAACAGAAGTGTGAAGAGGAAGTCTTCCCTCTGGCCATGAATTACCTGGACCGTTTCTTGGCTGGGGTTCCGACTCCGAAGACCCATCTGCAGCTCCTGGGTGCTGTCTGCATGTTTCTGGCCTCCAAGCTCAAAGAAACCATCCCGCTGACCGCGGAAAAGTTGTGCATTTACACCGACAACTCCATCAAGCCCCAGGAGCTGCTGGTAATGACTGTCCCCTGCCTCCCTTTCTACTCTTTCCTTCTTGCTCTGTTCTGGCCTGACATTCTGCCTTCCACTCACCAGTCCCAAATCAAATTCCTAGGATCCTGAATAAATCCACCACTGGAGTTTTCATACGGATAAGTCTCTTTGAATAAGAGAGAGCTATCCTTTGTGTTCCTACTGTGTGCCAGTCAATGAGCCAAAGCACTTAACCTACATCTGTGATCTACCAATAAGATCCTCATTGAAATTTGTGTTGATGAAATTCATTTGAGTTGTGTGTGTGTGTGTGTGTGTGTGTGTGATATCTTAATTAACTGATAATATATTAATTAGGTTCCAAATTTTCAAACACTGAGAAAAGAGCCTGATTTTTCCATTATAGGAATGTGTTCACAGGATAGGAATGTGTTGCAGGGTGTCTCCTAAGAACCTGGAGGTCAAAGGTAATGTCCAAGATATTGATAAAGTCTCAAGATACCTACATATAGTGGCTGATCACTAAATCTCAATACACTGATTTCTGAGTAAAGTCAAAATTTGGCCTTTTGTAGGAGTCTGAGGCCTGTTTTCTTAGCTCCAATGGAACTGTGACCTCTCTACAGCCCCAGGGGGTCCTGTCTTGGCTCTGGTTTTCTTCCAGGGAGCCTTTTCCCCACCAAATCTAATATTTTTCCCCTTACAGCTTCATGTGTAAGATGGCAATATTGCAACAGTACTGGAATCATACTTCCCTGGTCCACTGGTCCACCTTGGATGGTTTGCACACCTTTTTCTGCCCGGATTAGAAAGGGGGCCCCCCTTTTCCTGCCCCCTCCTCTCCTTACTGGCAGGGCTTGGGCCTGCCTGCATGAAGTCTAAGTCTGGCTTCTTGAACCGAGCTCTTTGTGAGGAGCCTTCCTTTCTGGGGCTATGCTGCCATCTAGTGGCAGACATGCACATGGTTGGGGGAGGAATTGCAGAGAATGTACAGAGGGGCATGAATGACTTCACCTTTGAACCGCTGCCAGAATTCAGCTGCTTCTGGTTTGGTCGGAGAGGCCCAGAAAGGTGCTTTTTTCTGGGCGATCTGCTTCCTTTAATAATAGTGCAAGACGAGTGCTTTGTCCTCGCATTTCCCTGTGAGGAGGAAAGACTGGGATTTCAAGTCATCTTTGAAGATGCTGGTTATTGCCTACTGGGTCATGGATAGGTTTTTACCCTAACCTTCTGCATAAAGCCAGGGGAGATTTCAAAGCTTCTGAAGAAACACAGTGATCAGAATTGGGGACCAGCTTTTTTTGTTTTGTTTTGTTTTGTTTTTAAATCACGAGAGAGCAAGGGGTAAAAAAAATGAAACTTCCATTTGGGAGACTGGACGTATTCTTCAGGATGCCCAATTTTTCTGGGATTATCCAAGCTAATTTATATTGTCCCAAATAAACGTGTTTTTTGTTTGTTTGTTTGTTTTTAACTCTCCCATCTCTATCCCAGAAGTTGGGATCTGGAAGAGTCCACCTATTTGACAAATGAGAAAGCTAAGGCCCAGGGAAAGAAAAGGAATCGCTGCAGGCCACATGGCCAGTTGGTGCTCTGATTCAGCATCTATTCCTGGGCCTAACGAATGCAAGAAATTCAGTGTTCTCAGAGTGAAGGAGAGAGCTGTGCACTGGGGAGGTGGTCCCTGCCCTTCATTCTTCTGAAAATGACTGATAGGCATATTTTCCCTCTGACTACACATATTTTTTTTTAAAGTTTTGGTTTGGGCTTATTTCCTTTTGAGCACAATTTCCCACATGTATCTTGAAGAGTCACAAGATTTTTCATTAGCTGGGCTGCTGGTAAGAGGCTCAGAAAGGACAGGTTTGTTTCCATTATCCCAGAACTTGGCTTAGGGGTTCTGTCACCCTGACAGACACCTCCGCTTTGTCCCACATTACCTCCATCTGCAAAATGGGATTTCAAATGACCATTAGCCACGGGGGCAAAGACCTGTGCAACATTTAGGTGAAAGGACCGAATGTCATATCCCCAAGTTTTCTGTGTGATGTGTCCAAGGGGAATTTTTTTTTTTTTTTAAACCAGCAAAGAAAGAAACAGCACTTTTTAGCACCAGGTAAAAGCCAGCTAATTGATCACCAAAGAGTTGGGCCAAGGAAGCCTATTTTACGTTGTATCTTCTGGCATCATTTTTTCCATGAGGATTTAAAAGACTATCCATCCAGCGATAGAGATGTGCAATAAATTATTCCCAAGGGCTACAATGTCCTTGGCCATAACTTATGGTAGGCCCAACTTTCTGGGTGGGCAGACAGCAGCATTTCATGGAAGTCAGGATTGGGTGGGAGTGCGGGGAGCTAGGGAGGAAAAGAATTACAAGAAAATAGAATCTTGGCAACAGAGCCTGACATTTGCAGCAAAGAAGAGCCATCCCAACTTCAAAGCTCTCAGGGCATCCTGACAAACAGACCCCCTTACAGCTTAGCAGCCCCATCCTAACAAGCATCATTAACACTTGTCTGGACCCCAATGCTCCCACACACACCAGATCAGCCTGCGGAGTTTTTATTCCGCTGTCCTCTCCCTGTCTTCCTCACCAGGAGTGGGAATTGGTGGTATTGGGCAAATTGAAGTGGAACCTGGCTGCTGTCACCCCTCATGACTTCATTGAGCACATCCTACGCAAGCTGCCCCAGCAGAGGGAGAAGTTGTCTCTGATCCGCAAACATGCCCAGACTTTCATCGCTCTGTGTGCCACCGGTAAGGACCAGGCTCAAAGATTGGAACCAGGGAGGGAGAAGAGCCCATTAGGGCATGCCCTGGGGCAGGGGATCCTAACTTTCATGCCAGTTGGGGTGTTTCCCGGAGGGGGGAGTCTTGAGCAACCCAGAGTCCCAGGTTTCATTCTTGAGTTCTTTGTTCTTTAACTTTATCGGAGCTGGTTTATTCTCTTTTCTCTGCTAAACTCATAAATGGTTTATGACAGGTGTGGTAAGGGGAAAAAAATTGGTGCCTGTTAAAATGTTCTTTATGGTGTCTAAAGTGCTCTTTGAAGATTATGTATACTGCTTACTGGTTGTGTTTAAATCTTTAATCTTTTGAGGAAAAGGATGGCTTGGAGATAAGCCCAAGAGGAAATTTGGGGGGGGGGGGGCAAGTACAGGTTAAAGGAGCAATGTCAAGGTAAATGTGCGGCCTTTGCTGATAGTGGCGAGGGAGACGAAAGGAATTCTTTCCCTTTCCTCTGTGGGCATTTATTGCTGTTGCCTCTGCTGGGTGGGGGAATGAGCCTTTCTGAGGCCTAGGTTCTAGTGCCCTCCCTGCCTCTGGATTTTGGCTGTGGCCTTTAACACAGCAATTGCAGCTGGCTTTTCCATCCACACTGGGGATCCCACTGATTGATACATAGTTTTTGTATTTTCCTAATAGAAACTAAAGGCAGTGGTTTGAAGGTGTCTCATGAAGCTGACCCTTGGCCCGTTTGCACTGTTTTTTTTTTTTTTTCTTGCTAATGGCCATGGTAGGAGACCCTGGAAGCTTAACCACCCAGGGGAGAGGTGTCAAGAGTTCATATTTTTCACAATCAGAAACATTAGGTAATGAGCTAATGTTTGGAGAGGTTCAGCTTCAATTTGCCAGGGGTAGTTGGGTTGTATAGGTGGAACTTAGGGTGAACCTCTTAATATCTTGTTACATGTTATTCATGAGTTTGTGCAGATGATTATATAACGTGCTATAGTGTATATGCTCTTTGTCCACAGTCAAAAGGTCAGGCTTTGTTACTTATCACTGAGTGACCTTGCACAGGCTATTTGACCTCTCTGAACTTCATCTGCAAAACATGCCTGTTGATACATCATCCTATAGCTTTTGCAGAGTGGTTAGGAAAATTAAAAATCAGAAAGGATGTATGTGCAACCAGACATGTAGGAGAATGTGCCAAGGTACTAATTCCAAAAATGCCGCCCTCCCTGATTTTTAACTCTGATTTTAACTGTTCCAGCTAAGGTGGATCTGTCACTATGACTCCTCCAGCCTCCCTCCTCTGGTTCCAGCAGGGCCCATGAGTTCTGTGTTTGCTGACTTGAGTGTAAGAGTCCAAATCTTCTACTTTTGAATCCAGAGCACAGGATTTGCTGATTTTCTTTAAGTCCTGTTCTTCCAGACCCCAATCAGGCCCCATAGCATTGCACATGTCCCCTGAGCTCCTGTGGAATCAGCGGGGACAGATCCTGCAGGCCCCCACCAGCCCCTTTCAGCAGTGCT